CTTCCATAGTGTTCAAATCATTTGAAAAAGTGTTTTACATAAGAAACATGACACACGAAATCCTACTTCTATTTTCTGAATAGGAATAACGACTGAAGATGGGATGTAATGAAGCCCCAACAACATCAACAGCAACTCCTTCAACATGAATATGATAGTTAGTGTGCATCACGTAAACACAAAGCGTTTCAACGAGTCATACAATTATGAAGACTGAAAATCCGTTTGTGTATTGTCTTTCTATATTCACTAACTCGAAAAGGCCGGAAATACTCTGGTTAGAATGTTAGCATCTTCAATATTTCTTCACCTTATGATATTGATATGTTGAACTAGTTAATGTAATTAAACGCAGGTGTGATTTCCTTACTGCTTATGAGGGAATTTTCTTGACACACTAACAGTAGAAAGTCTCCTGATTTTTGGTGTCATTTGACTGAACTGTGGCAGAATAAATGTTGATATTTCCATTCTCTTCAAGAAACAGCTAATCTCAAGATAAGTGTTTCCTTTTCATTTGACTTGATCAAACAACTCGGGAAAATGGATGGGAGCATATTCATGATAAAGATAATTCACTCTCAGCTTTATTCTATGAGGGCTTGAAGGTTTGTATTTTTGAAATGGTTTAGACAAAGTTGTCTTTGTGTGTGTTCAGCTGAATATCTCAAGTGCAATCGATTAGAATCTACTCATTATAACATGTAACTGAAGTCTGTTTGTGTTAGAACTCAATCGATTGACTGACAAGTAAACAACGATTATTCCATATTTCCCTCTGCAAAACTGTCAAAGTGTTTAATAAAGAGTAAAACTGAAAAACCGGTGTGCTAAGTGAGCGATAAATGATCACCAGTGATAAATCTAGAAGCAACATTTCTGAACTCCGGAAGTACATTCAGTCACAGTTGATGGAGCAAATATCCGAATATTAAGCAACCGAATTCGATGTGTAGCTCGCAGGTTCACTGAGTGGTAAGTGACTGATGATCAAATGAAACAGAAGGAATAAGTGCGGTGCCCCAGTTTCTATCACAAGAGGCAACTGAGAACGCCGATTTCTTGTAAAAAAAGTGGCAACAAAAGAAGGGTTCGGTGAGCAAAGTTAGTTCCTATCACTTATCCTCTGCGAATCTCATCGTAATTGAACGGAATGTCCAAAATATCTTTTAGTCTTGACCATATCACGAGAACAAGTTAAATTGCAATCGAAATTATTCACATTGAAGGTAAATTATGGAGTCTTGGAACAAGATCAGACAGTGGCAATGTAATGATGGTGATGGTGGCGAACTGTGACATATAATGGCATCTAGATACACTTCATGCTAGTCGCCATGATCAGATGTCAGAATGATCGATCAGCAATGTGCGTCGATGATAACAACTTCACCACTTCACAGTACGGAGTCTCCCACCATCCATGTAGTCTTGAATAACGGTGGACATTGAGGGAGGATTTTATCGTGACAGTGAAAAGTTGCGGCTTACACGTTCCGACATTGCAATGTGGTGCCCCACATAAATGACTTCAATGAAACTTCAACTGACTGATGAATATGCCTCTCCAGAAAGCCAGATAGGCCAGAAGCATTTTCAGCGTTCACAAAAATACCAAGTAAGCCTTACACAGCACCCACTATCAACTGGCATTCAACTCGTAAGTCACGTCATCTAAACAACACGCAGAAATTCCGTTGTGCTTCTGTTGATGAGGACTCCTTGATTCACAGAGTAAGTGAAATTAAGATTAAGTAGAATACGTGGACTTCTGAGAATACTAAACAAAGAACATTTCGATTTCTTGTAAGAAGTCTGCAATGATAATTTTGCAGCCAGAATTCGATCTTGTTAACCAGACATTTGCGTTGAGCGTTGAATCCTGAACACTGGTCTTGCTGACGACTAAGAGACGTACTGAACATAAGATTAACGATGAACAGAAATAATTAACTTGAAATAGTCAGGTGTCCAGGTTGGATGATGTGAAAACCACTGTCATTCTTCGTTTATCAATACGACAAGAGTAGATCTGCGTGAATGTACAGATGTACTGATCAAGAATGAATAGGTTCGCATGAGAAAACTTCTCAGTGAGACAGAAGGACAGATTGGAGCATAAAGAAGGCATGCAGAGTAAATCCCTCTTTACCATGAGAAGGTGATTACTACAATTCGAAATGAATGCCAGTACAATGGATGCAGAGAACTTCAACGGAAATGTATGTTTATCTTTTGGGAGCAGATTATACACGCAGACTACAGAAAACAGACAAGTTGTTTAAATTAACGTAGGTGGGTAATATCAACAAAGTTGGTTAACATTGAATGGAGGACATATTTGAAGAAGGAGTGAGTGTCACTTGTGAATAGCCAGAATACTATTTAGTATAACATTACACAAGAACAACTGGTCTTAACTTTCATTTCGCATTACGTGTTAAAATCACTTATCCGCGAAATAACCCACACATTCTTGTCAATCTGCGCTGCTGACAAGCTGTTTTTGTCTGAATAGGACTTTGAAGCGATATTCAGACGACGACGCGTTTTTGAAGAGAGAGTTCGGCAGTTTAGGAATTACGCGCCACTTGGATCTTTTACTACAAATGCTGTTCGACTTCCACATGATAATCTGTATGAAGTTGATTCAATTCCACCACCAAATAGTCACTTGCTTTTCCAGATGTGATGCATAGACTGGTCCGTTTTTATCACGATGCCGTTATCTGTAGAACAGGCTGTTCAAATGAAATAGACTACTAACTGTAGTTTACAAAGCTTTCTACTGTGACCACTAATCAGCAGTTATGTTTTTAATCTTTTAATTTCAAGGAGATTCCGAACATGTCGTACGACTGCAAATCCTCTAGATTATAACAGCCTCTTAGTAAACCGTCATCACTGGAAGCTCAATAAGTGCTTGAGACAACGTGGAATTTATGGATTCTCTTAGATCAGTTTGAAGTGCTCATTCCATGGGCACGATAACAAACCTGTGAGTAGAATGATGATTAGATCAGATTGAGTGAATTAAACCAATCTTATCTAAATTTTGTTCTCACTAGGCTGTGTCACATTTAGTAAGCCTAACAATCGCTTGCTAGCAATATATCGAGCACAGTCTGTTCATATTTCACTTATTCATTGATTGTATTAATTTTGCATTTTGAAAGCCAAAGTATTACTAGTTTTGTATTCGTGTTTAACTCAAGGTTATTTTGTATTTGTGACGTTTTATTCTATTTTTGTCTTCAAAGAATATATCAAAACGATATGTGGAAATGGCACTCCATAGAAAATCGTTCAGTTGTGAACAGATATGCTTTGCTGTCACGTCATTGATCTGTAACTGTCATATATCTAGCCCAGTTTGTCACTGATATGAAATGAATTCAATCAGAGTCGCATATTGACATTTGACTATCTGTATAATTAGAAAGTATTTACCTGCAGTTCATGCTACTATTAGTAGCTCATTATTCACACCCGCATTTCGATTTACTCCCAGGATATAATTTCTTAAATAACTACGTATATATGTATACATATATGATTGTGCAGCTTGATAATCGACTGTTTGATGAGAGTCTCTTCGCTGTATCGCCTCCTTTGATTTTGAAAATATCCAAATCGGGAATTTTCAAACGAGACGGACATTTCATTATGCATATAATTTCTGATGGTGAAAATATTATCTCGTCATCCTGCAATCAGTGTTTTGCACCTTGAAATCTCGAGATCTGTGAATACGTAACCGGCGTAAGTGCTACCAGCGACTCGACCTACCACCATACTGCTTCAATGTTACGGCCACGATCACTACCGACAAATACTTGGATTACAAGTGTTGAGGCTTCGATATCAGGTTGCATGTCAGCCCATTCAGTCACATCATGTTCAAATGAATCAAATTTCAATTCTTTCATATTTTGTTACCATTGAGGTGGTCAATAAGCAACACAGACGCTCCTGATACGATCAAAGTAGTTTGGCCAACCTCACTGATACCGTAATTAAATGAAAATCTTCCTAACTGATGAAATAAAATGCTGAAGTCCACACACCATCACTTGAATTTGAATTTGTTAATGTCGATAGAAATGCAAATGACTCAGACTGAGAACACTGAATTCATCTGATTAGTCGGAATAAGTTAATTAACTGGATTGATTAAATTGTATTTAGAAAGCAGACAGTAAGCGTTAACATAAAGAAGAGTTATTCAAGTAAATGTTTTCATGAATTCCACTGCACATCAATATATTTCAGTAATATGCAGAATACACGTTTCCGATGCTAGCATGAGCAGGACATTCACATTCTTGTCTAGTTTCTCCCGCCTACTCCTGTAGAGAAAATAAAAGCAGATGAGCATTTATGATTTCATGAGAAGGTAAAAGAGGCTGAATGTTACGAGTATTGGGAGAGACACATTAATGAATCGATAAGTTTTGACTACCGATGTAAACTTTAGGACATGAAGAACAAGCAACGCCTGTTGTGAACATTATTCCACACCCAGAATGACTGAGAGACAGTGAATCCAGTAATCCTGATCCATTCATTACATGACAGATATCGCAAATTCAGTCATTCGCAATAATGCAGGTGTGGATGTGGGTGCGGCTGTCAATGAAGGTGTATTGGGAATGTCCGACATGGTTCGAATCGACATGACCACAACTAGTGTTCAGCTGTGAAGAAGTCGTCGGTTGAGTTTTGTGAATGCCAAATCTGAGATACACTGTATGATTGTCTTCACAATACTAAGTGTGATTCCATATGATATGATATTACATGAATAAAATGATGATACACCGATACATGCAACTCTTGTCTCTGGTGCTTGGAATACAAATAATACTACTTTCACGTGGACTGCATTTCAATTTCAGTTATACACAATTATCCAAAAGGATGAGATTGCAGTTTCTCTCATGATTCAATTTTGAAAAATGAAATGTGGGAGTTCGTATGAGAAAGAAGGTAAATCTTACGTGTCAACTTCTCAGCGAGAGTTTCATGAATTTTCTTGAGCACTTGAAAATGAAAGAGCAATGTGAAGGTGACGTGTTAGTTGAAGGAAAGCAAGCTTTGTTTATCAATATATATATTCCTTCTCTTACAAAAGATTATATCTGATCAGTAGTAATAAAATACGCTGAATAAGTGTGTGTGTGTGTATACAAATCATTTTATGAAAAACATTTCATGCTCAATCATTCAACACTGCTCGTGTATTGTGGTAACACTCATGTGTTAGGTAGTTCACTGGTATAGAACTGAAGGCGGCAGTTATTCCAAAATCTGCGTTGTGATGACGATTCACTGTTGTTATGGTTGTTGATTCTGATTTTGACAAATGTGACGGCTGGTCTCCAAGACACGTATAAACACACGTGTGAACACATCGGACAGTTTCTCCCCAACCGATCACTTTCTCCTAAATTTACTCCATTGTCAGGCAAACACTCATAGTGATCATGTTCCTTCTTTGCATTTTCACGTTGCACAACAGAGTAGTAGTCACTTGTGTGTGGATGTGCATAAGGTCAGCCTTTGTGCAAATAAACTGTCACCTCCGAACATTTTGATGATTTCTACTTGGGAAGTGATCCGTTTGTCGACATTTCAGATTATTCTAGCTTTCTGTGGTCGATTGGCATTCTTCAGTGTTTAGACCTATATACAACTGAGCGTCGCGCACCGACTACTAAGTGATGCACAGCTCTCCAAGAACCTGCTTATTCCAAGATAATTCTATTATCGATTTCGGTTTTAAATATATAGCGATTATCAAGCCAATATTATTCATGTTATCTAAAGGAGTTTCGCACATAAAACGATCGCTGATTACACAGAATATCACGTAATTGTTTGTGCTTTAATTCTGTGAATTGATATTCATGCATAAATGCAGTGTGTAAAACTCATGAACAAAACATATTGAACTTACACATAATATTACCAAAGAGCATTCTGCGGCGGTATGAAATTTCTATATTACTCTTCAATTCCTGAAGATCTGAAATTTGAAGAATAATGTCTGAATTTCAAAATTGAATATCACAGAATCAAAAAGTGAAAAGTGATCATGCAGAATACTGTGCAATAATTGATGGTTTGGTTTAGTGTGTTGTTGTTGAAGCAGACGACTAAGTGTTCATTCACTTCAATGTCGATCATTGAACGTCTTTGAAGACAGTGAAAATACTTTCGAGAAACCCTTAATCCCCTCTCGTTATGTGTTGAATTCGCATAATATTGACTCCATCAGTGTCAGGGGACTAAAAAATCAACCTTATTTGTCAATATACAGGAGTGTTCAAATTGCATCAAATGCAATCTCAACTGCGTCAGATAGTTTCATAGACTTCAGATTTCACGTCATTGCACTTTAGAGATGTAATGTGTGATAGCGACATTGGAAGGAAAGCAGTCTGATTTCACACTTGATGTTGCATCCTGCACATTGGTAGTTCAACTTCGAATTCATTGACAACGCCACCAGATCGAAAGGTATGTGAATCCTGTGAAAGAAACTCATCTGAGAATTCATTTGACTTCCGAAAATGGAACTAATGAAATTCAAAAATTTTTCACAATATCCTCCAAAGCAGTGATCTTACATAATTTAATTTAAGAGTGTTGTCATTAGTAGATTACCTTTTTTGTTTCCTGATGGTTTATAATGTTCACAGTCGACTGCTGCTGATACTGATCGCCATTGAGCTGATGAAGAAACAGAAGGGAAGAACAGCATATTGAAACAAAGAGAAGGGAAACATTCATTGAAGTTACCAATAATAACAAATACTCATGCAACTACAGACCCATTGAATGTAAAAACACACACAAATCAATGTGTACTAAGTTATCTGGAGTTACAAATCTCCAATCTGAACTCTGTGGTTTGTGTCTGAGATAATCAGGTGGGTTCAAAACTCAAGTTGATGCCGACGTAACTGACAAGTTAAGTTAGGAATGTTTATTGGAAAAGTGAGAAGGAAGGATTCAAAGCTAAACTGTTTACCTGTGTGAGCATTGGCCTCTTTCTTCATACATTGTCGGAGAGAATGTTTCACAGTGAAGGTACCTGTATGTAAAATGTATTTTAAACAACATATCAACTCATGTTCATTATATTCTGAAGGTTTTGTCAGATAAATGAGTGAGTTTATATCCTGATTGGTGAATGATTCAGATGCTCCTGTCAGAAATATTCTGAAGCGACCATATGGACTAAGGTAACTGTCTTTGATAACTCTGGTTTCAGATTGTGCAGTAACACAATGATGAATGTTTTTCACAAAATGGCCTGTAAAATATACGATCCAATTCCGGTGGTCATCATGTACACTGGAAAAACCACTATCATTGAGTAGTAGTAATTCTGATAAATTGTTTGAGTAAAAATTCAGGAAGTATTTTTGCTGGAGGGATCAGGGAGAGTATGGAAAGACGGTACGATGGTTGGTAAATAGAGGGTGAGCGTAACGCAATTCGAATATGAATTGACTACACGATACCCAGGGATAACTTCATCGCTTAAATGCAGTAGTTCCTTATCATATGACATATGTTAAGTTCGGTTAACTAGATGAGGCGTTTATATGCCAATGAGTAACACTTATAACACATTGAGGTAGATAATTGTTTGTCGAATTCCATGCGGTTGTCGCTGTTGAACAAACTCAATGAATGCATTGTAACTCGAGAAGCATTGTCAACACTCAAATTATATACTGGATGTAGATAAAGTGACAACAACATCACATGAAGTCAACTGACTTAAATTCAATTTACCATAATCCTCAGGTCCGTTTTTGGCCTCTATAAAGACAGAAAATGATAACTGACATTAGGAGATCATGTAAAAGAATAATTCGTAATGCAGAGTTTATAACTGTAATGTATGTGGATTAACATCAGAGCTGACTAATTCCACGGTATACTCAACCGTAATTTGTCAATCTCTTCTATTGATTATCACAATGTAATTACACTGACCAGCTCAAAACACCCAGTTCTCGTGAAATTTATTATTCATAATTATATCTAAAGACGGAAATGATTCTCTTCAATCGTTCACTTTCCATTAGGTTGTTCTCCGTGCAGCTTCACGATGAATAACTTTATCGAGTCAATGAAGTGTTCATTCCATCGGAATGTTTAGTTGACGTCATTTGCCTAATGATCGATATCGGCGACTAAACCTACATAAATGACGCGTGACATCAGAGTTTCGAACATGGTGATCCAAATGGAAGGATCAGATAGTGTGTGCGACAAACTGGGATGTAGATTGAAGCAATTTGATAACATCTCGAAGAAAGCAGAAGTGAATTTCCCGAAAATGTATCCTTTTTAACAGCTTCAATGGATAACATAGCTGTCAACATTAAATCAGAGAGCAATCTCATTAGATAAGATAATTGTTTCAAGTCCGCAAGTGTAGTTTTATAGTTGTAGGATCTCACTGAATTGTTCTGGCTGCAAAGTTGCCATCTTCAATCCGAATTTGGAACATTTCAAACAAGAGCAACAACCAAAACTCATCCGGTACCCATGCAAATAAAGGCAGTATATACAGCTGAAGTATATCTTGGAACATACCTTCGAATAATATGTGTCCAAAGTAGTTTTCATAATGCGTTTTCCAACAGCTGATATCTGAAGGAGTTTGTTAGTCATAGAAATTCATCAAACCATCACTCACAGTTCTCAATGGTGCTGTTGCCTTTTCCTCCAGTTTCAAGAATAATCTTATCTAGTGAAAGAGAGGAGTGATAAGATCGATTGCATGACACCGGACACCTGCACAAAATTCCACATTCAGCATGTAGAAAACAGTTAGTTATTTGGCTATTATTGGAGCACCCCTACACCGTATTGTATTCATTTTACAACAGAGTGAATGTCATGGACATGAACGTGTGAAATTTCCGATTGAAGCGAATGTGAATAAATGTGAAGTGAATTGGGAAATCAGGTAGATGCGTGTTGATAAGTCCATCATTTTTCGCGTGGCACTAATATATTATCCTCATTTGAGTATATCTCATGTCAGCTGGCTCCATGTATTCACAATATCAAAAGTCAAAGCATTGACACGAAATAGCCTATAGGTAAAAAACTCCAAAAAATATAACAAATATCTCATGAGAACAGGGGATGCAGAAATCGAGTAGACCAAGTCAAATTATCAATCACATTGAAATAAATGTTTACTTTTCAGTTGTTTAATCGCTGCTTCTCTTCTGATAACCATCTGAGCTATTTGGAGTAATTGGTCTATTAAAAGGAAACCGAAAATTATTTAGCATCGATTGTTGAAAGCAATAGGATGTGACGAAATATTGAGGAACAGTACACACCCAAAAGCTAGTGTGGGTTAATATAAGAACAATGATATTTATCCACATAAAGTCAGTCGTCTTACTTCGAGCATACGAAATCGCATTTTTGATGTCTTCTAACCTAGTCGATTCACCTTGAAAATTGACAAAATGAAGAGAACAGCCATCGTTACACACACCGTAACTTTAATAACAAATGAATACTATGTAAGAATTTGTTAATTTCAGACGCCTGTAGTGCCATTTGAGTACTTTTATTGGATTCGTGATCTAAAACACTCTAATGAGCAGAACACCAGTTGAAGGATTAAACTTCCCAGACAGCATAGAATTGAATGTTTGCTGCACTCATTTCCTATTTCGGAAATGAAGAGATCATCGACATCGAGTTATTATTCGTCAATGACGGAAAATGATGTGTTTAGGCGATACTGAAAGTGGTGTTGGTGACATAATCACTTTTCCTTCAGTGGTATGATCACGGAATAGTCTTACATAACACTGATTTGATAAAACAATTACGTTCATCATATTGCAGAACAGAATAATTTGAAAAGATTGAGTCAAAAATGCACAGTCATTTCAATATTCGCTTACCCTCGTTCATGGTGGCAAACACCAGCAGCGTTATCATGGATATGTAAATGTAAATTGAGTTGAACATATTCTCACCTTCCTTAGTTTACTCTGGTCCAATTCTCCAGCTTTTATATTCTTCCTGATGGTGAGTTGTAGTGTTGTAATGCGTTTGTTGGTTGATAAATAGTAGTAGTAGTGCTTATCTTGTTTTCCATTTGTTGAATGAGGCGAGTGTGTTGATTAGTTATTGGTGGTTGGTAAAGTCATTTGATGAGTGGGTGCGTGGGTTGGTTGGTTGGCAAATGTTCAGCATCACTTTAGTATTCTTGTTTTCACGCTACAATTAATATTCTCTCTTAGTAAACAAGTCAGTCTAATAGAACCATTCCTGCTAGATGTCGATGAAACTCAAGTGTGAGTTCAGTGTTGATTCATTCGGTTAATTCAAAACAATTCAGAGCAGAAAATTTTCTTCATCGACGAAGTCATCTTCGGCGGCTGTACAGTCGTATTCATATTTATCGAAAATGCTTATTAGTCCATTAGTGAGTAGTAGGGTTGACATAATTTAGAAAAAGTAATTGGAAGTGGCTTCAAAAGTAAAAATAAACGCTTCAAATAACGTTATAGTTAATGACACAATGGAAGGAAGCGTCAGAAATTTTGCTGAGGTTGAAATTGTTATTGAGTAAGGAGAAAGATAATTTATTGGTCATTAAACAAGTGTGAGAAAATGTACAGAAGGAACATGTGAGAGTGATAATAGTCAATCTATTAATAAAGTAAAAGCAAAGTTATCATTTTAAATGGAGAATCAACAAGAAACGAATAATGAAGAAGTCAAGATCGTGCTAGAATAACAGACTTGACAACCACATTCTGTATGCAGGGTTTCGGTTTGCATTCACGAATCGCTAACGTCTCCGCGTTACACAAATGCTGAAACTTGACACCCGTTGTACAATTTCACCTCACCTTGTAGATCATCTCGAAAGACGAACCTGTCATTGTGTGGCTTGAGTGGCCCGACAAGTGCTCGAGAATTCAGCCAGTAATTGCATTGCATTGTCTTTTTGCCAATCATGCCAGATAGTGTTCACAGATGCGTTTGGAAAGTGTGCAGTTAGTGCAGCCAATATAACTAGCTTGACAGGAACACACATTCAATTAACGGCACTTCGTCATATACAAGTCCATTGCTCATTGGTCGACATTAAAAATGTGATCCGTGATATTGATAAGCATTTCTTAAGTAAACTGGCTGCGGCATCACCTTTAAATTCAGCGTTCATGAATAGCAGTTTCTTCGGCACCGTCTGAGTCCTTTAGGGTTTTCCCTTTCCTCTCATGTATTCCTCAAAGAATCTTCAAGGATACTCGTTTTCCATGAGGACTCATCTGAGTGTCATCAGTTCACCATCGATTATATCAGAGGCAAATATCCCGGATATCCTTGAGGATGAGGAGTGCATCAGAATCGACTTACTTCTGAAAGGTGACCATCGATGCAAATTTAGGTATTGAAAATTGCATCACAATGTCCTGTAGATTGATTCTCAGAGACAAGAGTCAGAATTCCGTTGAGAACTCTCCCAGAATTTCTCCGGGATTCTATTTCGCGATCACTTGGCGCAGACGTGATTGTGGAGATGACAGAAATAATTCCAGATCATCACCATAACAAATGACCTTTGTGAATAATTGTTCAAACAAAGAGCCTTGCAGAATATCAGTTGTGATGTTTTCAAGCTAACGGGTCTTCATAAGCTACAATAGATGATGTTTGCTTTGAATACACTATGGTGACTGGTGTCTCCTCACTTATCACCTGGTGTAAACTCAGATTCCTTGATTGAAATAATTTTAGAAATAATGATTATGGCTGATTCTAATATCTGGTTATATTCCCTCAAACAGCTATCACAATTATCAGAAGACGAAAGTTTCTATTCAGTACTTTGTGTGGTTATTATCTCACTGAAACTGTTGAAGTGAATTCGAGGAAAGTGGATGAGAAATTGTGAGTGATATTGCAATTGTGTGTAGAATCAGTATTTTCGCTGTAAGCATGTGATGTGAGTAGCTACGTCACTGCCTTGAGTCATATCACAATATCTCACAGCCATCTTCGCTGATATTTATATGCGATTCAGTGTGATCCTTTGCTTCTCTATCCTGTTTAAACAGTCTGATGCTGATTGCTTTAAAGAGAAGTGAAGCGAACCAAAGTGAAGTTAATGAGAATGTTTAGAAATGATAGAGAAGATTTGTAGCTCAGGTGGATTATTTTGATGTGGTTGTCTTCTCTGAGCTGGATATTTAATTTGCGAGGCTTTCATCACCCTACTAGGTGACATCTTCAGCGTATACTTCAATTTGAAGCGAGCTTTTAGATTTCTCCACGAGTTTATTAATCATCTCTCCTGGCGACCTTGGACGTGATTGGTTGTTTTTGTGTGTTTTCACACCTTCTAGGTTACTTGTATTGTCACTCATTGTTTCTTTGACTTGAACTTTGACCCTTTGTGTGTGACTATTCTTTCTTATTGGTTGATAAATTTTGTCTATCTCGATGTGTCTATTGATTGATGATTCACTGGAATACCAAGCTTCTAAAAATTCTCTAGCATTCTTGGTGTTTCCTCTGTCTAATATTTGAACGTTGTCCCAGTCGAACTGATGTCCGTGGTTGTCTGTCTGTAGTGATATGAGGGAATGGATATCATGTCTTTTGACAGCTAGCTTATGTTCGTGGATACGAAGACGAAGGAGACGTCCACTTTTGGCCAATGTAGTGTTTTTCGCAGTTGATACAATCTATTTTGTAGATGATGTTGGTTTTATCTTCCTTCGCTGTTGAGTCTTTTGGTTGACATAGAATTGAGTGAAGTGACTTTGTTGGTTTGTGTACGACGTCAATTCCTAAAGGTTTGAAGAGTCTTGTAGTGATTTCTGAGATGTCTTTTATATATGGTAAGGCGATTTTCTTTGTGCTTTCCTTGGGGGCTTTTGGTTTGATAGGCTGGCTTGGAGGTATATGTCTTTTGATGAAATTCCTTGGATATCCATTCTTTTGTAAGACATCCATGAGATATTTTTCTTCAATTTTCCTTAAGGTAGGAGTGCTGCAATGAGTCCTGCCTCTCTTGAATAGTGTTTGTATGCAATTCCTCTTGTGTTCTATTGGATTGTTGCTGTTGTAATTCAGGATTTGGTCTGTGTGAGTTGATTTTCTATAGACTTGAGTTTCTAATTCCACTGTCGTTGTTCGCTTGACTTAGCTTTATCTAACTCGTTTCTTTTGATAATTACAAATGTGTCGTCTACGTAACGTATCCAAATCTTGGGTTTGATCTTTGGTAGAGTTATGTGCTCACGGACATGAGTGATCATTGATGCTGGCTCTTTCTCTTCTTCTTATCAGAAGAGATAGTTGATAAGCTCATCGAGAATTCCATCAGCTCACTTAGTATTGAGATATGTTCTGCAATACGTTTTGTAAGGAATTGGATTTCTACATGCATTCTTCTCTTCAACAGTTAGATAGCAGCGGCGTTAAAAATATAACTCGTTTATAGTGTGACATGAATGTTGAGGCCTTGTAAAGGTTTCAACTTATTCAACTCGAATTTATTACTTCCGTGAATCCATATTAAAACATATGACCTACTAGTGTTCAGTAATCATGTCCAGACTAGGGGAGATGAATTACCAATGCTATGATCGAATGTCTATATATTTCGCAAATCTCATGTTATGATTCCGTGTGTCTCAAGTACAGTGCTGGTGATGAAGTCGTGAAATGTATAGGAATGTTACAACCTTAATTTAACATTATGTGTGAGTGATATTGAATTTGACTTAGGCAAGAGATCTGGTCATTTAGCTCCTTGTTTATTTCTAATTTCCTAAATTATACATATTCACTCTTTCGTCATTGACAAATTGAGCCTCAAAATCAGAATGATTCGATATCAACAATGGCTTCTCGGTCTGAATGTTGTTTGGAAAACGATAGCGCATCCTGTTATCCCGCTGAAATTGTTGATGGGCTCTGTACCTACTTATTACTTTCAATCTGCCATCAGCGATAGATATTCAGTCATTTAAATTACTGAAACTACCCACAACAATCAGGCGATGTCTTAGGAGGAAAGAGTTAAACCTTGTGAGCAGTCACAGAGCCAACTGTGGCAAGCTGCAGAGGATATGGTGAGATGGAGTTTTGTCGCTGAAACCTATTTGGTTTTTTCAAAGTTCAAGTTAATAACAATACATTAAATAAAAATTCATCAACAACATCATCAAGTTATGACTTATCTGAATCAAAATACAGTGTCTCTTTGCAATACTCAAACAATCTGCATTCAATATTTGAAGTGATCAAAGTTGTGTGCAGTCGCGTCTTCGTAGTTCCATTGGTTTTATTTTTTCTTATCTGTACTGAATTTCTATTTAATCTAGAATTATTCGCAATGTTGTCATTGTAGGTGGAGTATTCAACGCAAAAGTTCAACTGGAGATTTAGGGATTTATTGGATGCAGTTACCTAGAAATTTGTTTACATCAGACGTCTGCTCTCCACAAATTACAGGCGAAATTTAGGTGAGAGTCCAAGAAAAATTCAGTATGAATATTGACAGAAACTCTTCTCACAGCCGAAAAGATCCGAAAGTACATCACAAGGTTAGTGGGGAGATGCAAATTATGCAATCACTGCGTTTTTTTTTTGCAGTGAGACCGAAAAACTCCTAATTATTTCTGTTCACATAGCTACGTTAGCTCAGGTTTCCGAAAAAGTCATAATACTGCATATTCTTTGAATGATAACGATTGAATCTCATCTTCCAACAATAATATGTTCGGCAACAATGATTTCTCATCCGTGTGATGTTACCTCACAAAAGTAATATATCCTCGTGATATCCTCATTAGGGAGAAAAAAATAACGAACACCTCACCCAAGTAAATCTTTCAATGAATTTCTGCGATACTCAGATAACACTTTTCTGACTGGATGAGAAAATCAAACTAGGAGAAGTACTCTTTCTCACCTTCTGCTATTGTGATTGACAAACTCTACGCTGAAAATAATCTATGCATCACAGGTTGAATGAAGTTCACGCGAAAAACGATTTCACTACAGAATGGATGTGAGTAAGTGACGTATCTCCGCGAAAAGTTTCGAAGGTTTACGCGTGATTCGGGATGCTTTCCAAACAGATAACTACATGCTTACACCTTCTACCTATTATTATTATTATTCTTGATTAATTTAAAACTATCCTTTATCAGTAGCATTA